GAGGAGTTGTGCAAGATGTCGGCCTGTGCCACTAGGATGGAGTGGGGCAATCTGATGTAATGCTGAATTCTCTCTTCGGACGGGTGCAGCGGTCACAGCCGTTGCCTTCGGATAGTCCATGTGAAAGCACCGGCTCGTCCTCTTCCAGTACTGCTCCTGCAAGTTCTGACTCTAGCGACAGCAGCAGCAGCAGCAGCAGTGGGACGCAAGAGGACAGGCAAAGTGATCCGGTTGACCATGCTGGTGTTGAGGTACCAGATGAGCTGTCGTATCTTCGCAGGCGCAAGCAAACAGAGAAAGCACGGGCAGCACGGAAAACCAATGCAGCTCTCCGTCGGCAGGAGAAGGAGCTCCATGGATGTGAAGCCGAACCAAGGCACCCGGCTTCCGATTATAAGGTGGAGCTGGAGCGTGATCCGCCCTGTTGCCGACCTGGAAGTTTTTCAGGAGTTCATCGGGCAACTCGTGTTCGTTTATTGTCATCTTGGTACAGCCGTTTTGTTGGGGCCTTGAGAGCATCTTTTGCAAGGGAAGATGTTCAACATTGTCTCAATATCTGTGTCTTGGACGACACGTCGATGAGACTTTCTGAGACCTTCGGCAAGTTGGCTTCTTCGTGGCGCAAGAGCCGCATTATAACAATTCTCAGTATGCTGCAGACGTTAGTGTTGCGTGTCGCTCCAGATACTGAGGGTGAAGCAACGTCCAACCAGCAAGCTGACTGCCAGTACGAATGCTTCGTCGCCCCAACGCCACTGGTCCCGTTGGCGTGTGCCAACACTGCGTCACTCTTGTCCGGCATGACCGGCTGGCTCTTGCTTTCTTTTGCCAAGGTGGGCACATTGGGGGAGCGCCTTCTTCGCTTGGCCGGATTGGGCCCTGACGCGGTCAAGACCCATGCTCCCATGCAGACCTTTTGGCTGTGTTGGGATTCATTGAAAACCAATGTTGCCGTTTTGAAAAGCTTGCGGGTGGCACAGACACAGGTGCAGCAAGATGACGCGGCACGATTCGTTCTGTCTTGCAAATGCCTCATTCACCAGGCTGCACTTGTGCGGAAGACGATAATCAACAGCTTTCCGGGGCATTTCTCATCCATTGTCCGCCTAGGTCACCTTTACGAGATTCATTCCTTTAGAAGTGATTTTCGCAGGGCGTTGATTGGAGTTGTGGAGGACAGCTTTAGGTTCGTGGAGGTTCCTGAGCTGCCACCTGAGTGCGAAAGATGGCGCAACGAACGGATGCAAGCAGCATCGATGCAGGACAGCGATCCCAGCTACAGCCGGGTGAGGAGGTCACTTCATCAACAGCTGATGACATGGGACAATGGCGATTGCTCGAAAGATGCCATTGTGCATTACTGTACTGGCAATTGTTGTGTTGGAAGTTCTACGGATGAGAGGCGGGAGTATGCAAAATTGCAGGTTTGCAAGATCTTGTACCTGATCTTTGGATTGGGCTATCCGCTACCTTTGTTGTACCGGTGGCTCCATGTTCACCGTGCATTGCAGTTTTGCCGCGAAGGAATCTCGATCCATCGGCTGTTGCCACGTGTCCTTGAAAAGATGAAGAAGCCACACAAACAGACTGCTTCAGAATTGCTTCTTTGTGCCAGGATTGAAGAGGCAGATGTGGCAGACGAAGAACCTGATGAAACCAGGCTCGAGGAAACTCCAGCTGCATTGGCGCAGAAACGGCGACTTTTGACTTCCAACGCTTTTGCAGATCCTTTGTTTCTCCAGCGAACAGTGTTGTTGGAGACACTCACAGCACCTATTGCGGTAACGATGCACTCTTTGCTCAAGCGATCGGGGCAGCTCGCGCAGCTTGCACATCTTCCTCGTGCAGCCGAAGACCGTGACAGGTTGAGACAAGAGAGCCCTGGCTCTGTGTAGTTGTACATAAATTCGTTGAAGCCGTTTTAACATTTCCCTCTCCCATTTTTGCGAAGGGCCCTTCCATCCCGTAGATTTGAGCCCTGAGTTGGGTGGAGTTAGTTAGAGGTTTCTTTAGAATTCAGATTACGGGTCTCGGTTGAGGGTGTTCGGGTCGATGGTTCAAGGCGTACTGTTCGATTCCAGTAAACAGCCCCTTCCCATTATGTTTATTATGGCTTAGGATTCAGGGTCTAGGCCGCTTTAGGGTTTTAGGATTTCAAATCACGCTGAACCGCGAGGACTTCTCAGCTATTCCTTCACTATGTTTCCAAAGAACTGGGCGTTTCATGGATTCGGGAGCAGTGTCTGGTCTTGGCAAGATTCCATGAACTCAAACTGCCCAGAATGGCCCGGGTTGCTTTTGAAGTCAGTGTCACCGTGCTGACAGAGATTTGGAGACGGTTCGTGTTGCAGCAAGATAGTTTTCCTACCTGCTTGTTGTCTGATTTGCTGCAAGCAGACACTGTTCCAGACTTCTTGGAAAAGTACTTCAAACTGAAAGCTCGTGGCGCTTTGTGCTCACGATGTGTGGATCCCGAGTTTAGCAAACCTTTCTTGGCAGTCATTTCCCAATCGGAACCTGGTGAGGAGCAGAAAGCCAAAGCTTCAAGATTGATGGCTGTTCTCAGAGACATCAGTGTTTGGGCACCTATTTCTTCCGACCTCGTTGAATGTCTTCATGGTGTGAACCAGTGTCGTCTGCATCGATGGCGGGGCTTCAAGCCGACCGACGAAAGTGCTCAGCAATTGACTGCTTGGGCCAGCATAACGACCGCGTATGCCAAGTTCAAAGATGTGGTTTGGGCCCGGCTGGGTGACAAGTTTGCAGGCAAGAGGCTTGCTAGATATGGGCAACCTGGCAGGAATCAATATAGCAGTCCAAGCGACCAAAGGTCGCGAGTGCGTCGAATGACTGTGCAAGACTTGCAAGAGTTGGCCAACGAGGCGCCTGGTGCAACAGCTGGAAGCAAAAGAAAACTTTGTGGCTGGAACATGTTCCAAAAGGAAGCTTTTGCTGCTCGTCATTATAGCCCGCAGGAGTGGCAGCAAAAGGCGGTGGAATTGGGGACTGCGTGGCGCAACTTGTCTGCGGAGGACAAGGAGGGCTACGAGGCAGAAGCCAGGCATCAACAACATGCAGTGGACGAGGCCAGATTGCAGCCCTTCCCCTCCAAGCAATCGATAAAGGAAGGGAATAAAGCGGCACCGCAGGGTTTCAGCGCTTTCGATGCTGTGTCTTTGCTGAAAGAGAACTCCAAAACATTGACAAGAGTCTCCATGGACCGGCTCATCACAACTCAGAGAATCTTTCAGGATGCAGATGTGTGGCAAGAGTTCAATGGCGGAATCTCCTGTGCACGAGGTTGTTTGCCACTTGATGCCGTCGACCTGAGCACGACGGACGCTGTGTTGTCGGCCCGATGGAATCATGCTGTGAACGAGCCTCTGACCCATGAAGTGCCCCTTGCTGAAGGTGCCTCTCAGGTGCACCATGTGACATGCCAACGATCTCACGGAGAGTGCCATCAATTGCCGCACCAACGAGTTGCTGCATCACTGCTAGCCGAGATGGTGAAGATGATGCTCAGTGATGGTGATGACGCAGGAGTGAGCCAGGGTTTTGAATTCCATTAGTTCTTCAAGGCCTGGGTGTAGATTTGTCTCTAGTTTAGATATCATATCAGGATTAATTTGATACTTCCGGAGAATATGCTTTTCAGCCTGGCTTGGTCTGAGGGCGAATTTGGGTTTGTTTTTCGGTTCCAGGAACAATGTGATTTGAGAATTCAGGAGACAAGATGCTTCGGCCTGGCGCGATGATACAGTTCATGGAAGACGATTGCAAGGATATTTTCTTTCTCGGTGCACCTGTGCAAAAGCCTCGTCAGCTGATTATGATGCAAGGGTTCGAGAGTTGGGACAATGGTCGGGCTTCCGTCTCCTTGCGATCCCCTGCAAATGCAGAGTATTGCTTTCGAACCTTTCATGAAGTGATTCAGACTGTGCTTTCTGGGAGGGTGTCTGCAATTCAGGAGATTTCTTTTCTTGTACGGACATACACTATGCCAACATCCGAGAGCCTGACAACAGTTTGCACCACACCAGATGCAGACTTGAGAGATATTGCCCGGCATGTGAAGCTTCAGCTACCAGTGAAGACGAAAGCAGTCAAGAAGCAGCTGCCGTTTGGACTAGTGCCACCGAAAAAGAATCGGAGGCGAGCTGCGAAAAAACAGAGCGGCCCTGAGCAGCAGAAGAAGCCGCGACAGGAGGTCGATGGTTGTATTCGGAGAGTGCCTTTTTCATTGGGCGTGGGAGCTCAGGTCGTTGCTGCTTCGCTTGCGCAACAATGTCCTGACGATTCTTCCGATTCCGATTCTTCCGATTCTTATGCTGGCCCGTCAAGTTCATCATGTAATGAGAGCCGGTCAGATGCGTGCTTGGTTTCAGAGTCCTCCGGTGCGGAGACGGACTCTAGCTTGAAAGCTGCTGGGGCGGTGGTCTTGAATGAAGAGCGGGAGATCAGAGATGTCGAAGAAGCGATGCCAAGTGCCCCAGCGGAATCGTCCAACCAACCTGCTCCTAGATCAGATCAGAAAACTTTTTGCAACACAAATCTGGGTGTCGTGGACTTGGGCTGGCAGCAATCAAAGCGTCTTGCAACATGCAGGCAGTGCTGTCAGAAGATATCCGTTGGAGACGGCAGAGTGGCTTGGGCGTACAATGTCAAAAAATTCCACGCCTGGTTGCACACAGCGTGCTTGCTGCCTCATCTACGACAACAGCACGAAGACATGCAGCCAGCAGTACAGCAGGCTATCGCTTTTCTTACAGATTGGTTGGCCCAACATGCTGAAGACAGTAAAGCGCCTGTGTTTGTAGACCTGCTAAATCAGCTGCAGCAACCTGTGCCGCTGTGATCACAAAGACACAAAAGGCATTGTGTCATGGCCCGGAAAAAATCTAGGATTGCTGGAGAGCCGGCCTCGCCCACTTGTTTTGATTCGGTCTCGTCCGGAAGCTTCACTATGTCACTATGTAAGACTACTACTACTATGTATGATGTACGGTGACTCATACTGGCATGTCTTTCTTTGGCTGGGCCAGGCACCAATCGACTTCTTCTTTTATGGGAAAGTTGGGGATGTGGTGTACGGCCTGAAGGTCCAGGAGCCTGGATACAAACCGTATCATATCAAAGTGCTCTTCCTGCGGATCATTGCTTGATTTCATTTCAACCAGCACGCAGCACATTACGTGACACATCCTTTGGTTTTGGTGTTGAGCTGTTCTGATGCTCTTAGTAGCCGGGTGAGTGTTGTGTAAGGAGCGATTGCTTTGGATCGCCCACCCACCGGAAACGATGCTACATTTTGGGTGCCAGAGTGGATGTGGCTTCGCAGGAGTCCTTTGAGGCCACTTGAAGGGTTGACTGCCAGCTTGACTCAGCTGACCACATGGCAAAAGTTGTGGTTTGGTCTTCTAAGGCGCTCTGTCGATTCGTGGAGTATGACTGCCCTCTAATCCATGACACGACCACCATTTCGGATTGTGCCATGTCTGTTGTACCATGCTTGGCCCGTGTTGCGCGTGCTTGCACTCATGAGTTGAATGTGCCGTATCCTGGCATCCTTCTGATGCTGGTCGTATATGGAAGCTCTTGGACTTCACGCAAACCTCAAATTTTGTTTGGACAAACCCAAAGATCGGCAAACCAATGATGGGGCCCTTCGGCCCAGAACTTCCCAAAACGCAAAGCCCAAATTTTGCTCCTGCAATGTTTGGCTTTTGCGTAGCCGGACGAGGATTGGGGGCCCCCCCAACCCTTCACGATTTGGAGCGGGGAGGCCCCCAACACTTCACCAAAGATCTGCAAATCAATGACAGGGCCCTTCGGCCCAGAACTCCCCCCAATCCAAAACCTAAATTTTGCTGTTGGTAGAATGTCGGGCTTTGGCTTGGCCGCGAATAATGAGGATGGCTTGGTTGGGCTGGCTTCGGTTTGGTTCGCAGTGAGTAGTGTTTGGGTGGTCTTGGGGTGGGCATGTCTGCATACTGCTGCGTTCAGCTGACCAATGCTACCCTAAACCCTAAACCCTAAACCCTAAACCCTAAACCCTAAACCCTAAACCCTAAACCCTAAACCCTAAACCCTAAACCCTAAACCCTAAACCTTCAAGAGCAGGATAAATAGAAATTGTGTGACTTTCGTTTCGAACTGCATTTGCATTATTTTCAAATTTTCATTAATCGTGTCCAACCCAATTCCAGCCCAGCCCGCCACTCCCAAAATGAAAGCTTCAAGCCAAAAAACGAAACCCGCCCAAAACTTTCGCTCAAAACTTTCGCCCAAAACTTTCGTCCATCGCAAGAGCTGCGGAGGCTTGAGCAGCTCCAGATCAAGCTTGGCAGCACAGCCCCGCCCAGCCCACCCAGCCAGCCCAGCGCAGTTCAGCTACCAGCCGAATCCAGCCTACCAGCCCAACCCAACCCAGCCCAGCCCAGCCCAGCCAGTCAAGCCAGCCAAAAAGCGAAGCAAAAACAAAACCGTCCCCCAAATCCTAGAAACCAAAATGCAAAAGCAAAACTCAAAACCCGGCAAAACCCGGCAAAACCCCCCAAAACCCGGCAAAACTCCGGACCCAAACCCTATACAATTTCTATAAATCCTAAATCCTAAATCCTAAATCCTAAATCCTAAACCGTAAATCCTAAATCCTAAACCCTAAACCCTAAAACCTAAATCCTAAATCCTAAATCCTACACTAAATAGTGACATCCGGAAGCTTAAGAGCAGCCACACGAAAAGAAAGGAGGGGACCTCGAGATTCGCAACCGGCCTTGTCTAAAAGGCACATTTTATGAACAGAATTTGTCACTTCAAAATCACCAGCAAAAATCGAAATTTCCGGATGCTAAATCCTAGATCCTAAATCCTAAATCCTAAAACCTAAATCCTAAATCTTAAATCCTATATCCTAAACCCTAAATCCTAAATCCTAAATCCTAAATCCTAAAACCTAAACCCTAAATCCTAAATCCTAAATCCTAAACCCTAAACCCTAAAACCTAAATCTTAAATCCTAAATCCTACACTAAATATTGAAATCCGGAAGCTTAAGAGCAGCCACACGAAAAGAAAGGAGGGGACCTCGAGATTCGCAACCGGCCTTGTCTAAAAGGCACATTTTATGAACAGAATTTGTCATTCGAAAAGCACCAGCAAAAATCCAAATTTCCGGAGGCTAAATCCTAGATCCTAAATCTTAAATCCTAAACCTAATTCCTGAATCCTAAATCCTAAATCCTAAACCCTAAATCCTAAATCCTAAACCTTAAACCCTAAATCCTAAATCCTAAACCCTAAATCCTAAATCCTACATCCTAAATCCTAACCCCAAAAAGAGGGACCAGAGCAAATGGGGCACGGTTTGGGGTTATTATATAGCTACGCTAGAGGTGGTCCCGATACGGCGGTCCCTCATTTCGAAGACTTCCCGTTGGGGTTTGCCATGGGCTTTACACCGTTGACCTGTGCAGGTCAGACCGGCGAGGCTTTACCCTCCCCTCTCCGCGTCCCGCTCTTTCCGTAGGGGCGCTCGGGCTGTTAGGCCCTCGGCCAAAGCGCTAGGGGCCTGTCGTTCGACGATTTCGGCCCCTCGTAGGGTTTAGGGTTTAGGGTTTAGGGTTTAGGTTTAGGGTTAGTTTAGGGTTTAGGGTTTTAGGGTTTGGTTTTTAGGGTTTAGGGTTTAGGTTTTTAGGGTTTATAGAATTTTGTTGGGTGCCAAAACGTTTTGACCGAAGTTTTAAAACCGAAAGTTGTTTTTTTTGTGATCCATATTTTGAGTTTGGGGAGGGGGGGTGGGCCTGCCTGGATTGGGACTGGGCCTGATTTGGGGGGTGGAGCCTGGATTTGGGGCCTGGTGGACTGGGCCTGGAGTCTCAGCCTGGATTTGGGACTGGGCCTTGGGACTGGGCCTGGATTTGGGGTCTGGAGCGTGGTGGAGCCTGGATTTGGGGCCTGGTGCCTGGATTTGGAACTGGGGCCTGGGTTTGGGACGGCCTGGATTTGGGGTGTGGAGCCTGGATTTGGGACCTGGTCCAGGCTCCACCAGGCTCCAGACCCCAAATCCAGGCCCAGTCCCAAATATTTGGTTTGGGGTCTGGAGCCTGGATTTGGGACCTGGGGCCTGGATTTGGGATTGGGGATTTGGGGTGGGATTTGGGCTGGAGCCTGGATTTGGGGCCTGGGGCCTGGATTTGCCTGCCTGGGACCTGGAATTTTGGGTCTGAGCCTGGGGCTTGGATTTGGGGTCTGGAGCCTGGATTTGGGGCCTGGCCTGGATTTGGGACTGGAGCCTGGGTTTGGGGCCTTGGGACTGGGCCTGGATTTGGGGTCTGGAGCCTGGATTTGGATTTGGGGGTCTGGGGCCTGGATTTGGGGCCTGGGGCCTGGATTTGGGACTGGCTGGATTTGGGGTCTGGAGCCTTGGAGCTGGAGAGGGGAGCTTGGATTTGGATTTGGGGGATTGGAAGGTGGGCCTGGGTTGGGAAGGTGGGCCTGGGTTGGAGGTTATGGAGAAATTGGTTTATCAAGAAGCTTGTTCCGTTTTTGATCGGGTGGCTGTTTTGAGTAACGCCAGTTTTATCCGAAATGCTGGGCCTTAGCGGTGGTTACAAACAAGGACAAGCAATTTCTATTTATCACTTTCTTGAGGGTTTAGGGTTTAGGGTTTAGGGTTTAGGGTTTAGGGTTTAGGGTTTAGGGTTTAGGGTTTAGGGTTTAGGGTTTAGGGTTTAGGGTTTATAGAAATTGTTAAGGGTTTGGGTGCCAAAAACGTTTTGACCGAAAGTTTTAACCGAAAGTTGTTTTTTTTGGATCCATATTTTGAGTTTGGGGGAGGGGGGGGTGGGGCCTGCCTGGATTTGGGACTGGGCCTGGATTTGGGGGCTGGAGCCTGGATTTGGGGCCTGGTGGACTGGGCCTGGAGTCTCAGCCTGGATTTGGGACTGGGCCTTGGGACTGGGCCTGGATTTGGGGTCTGGAGCGTGGTGGAGCCTGGATTTGGGGCCTGGTGCCTGGATTTGGAACTGGGGCCTGGGTCTTTACATGTACACTTTCCAGCCGCACGGACTCCGGTTCGCCAATTCGCACATGCACATGCACACACAAGCACACCAATCATCTCGTCGTCGTTTTTTGTAGCTGCTGTTTTCTGAGCTTAAAATCGGAACTAAATCCTGCAGCTTCGAACTCTTTCAAACATCGTTGTTTTTTCCACGGCTCTCTTCTGAAAGCTCCATTTTGGGGGCTCGCCCCACAATCCTT